ACCCCCACCCCCAGCTGATCCCCCTGGACTTTTCGGTTACATGAACTAATACAAACCCTTGTTTACTTAATCCGGGGTGCTGTTACTCACAAGCAAAAGAATCCTGAGTGGTTCTGCCTTTCACACACCACGCTCTGAGGTGCGGACTCCTGTCCCCTGTGTTCAGGGCCCCTCCCTGGGATCCTCCTAACCCACTGGACCCCCCAGAACCCCCCATGGCTGGCCTGCCTTAGGCCTTGCCAGCTTCCATCTCCACCTTCCACACCAGCCTCTAAGACAGGGGCTGGCAAACGTTCTGTATAAAGGGCAGGACAGTAAATGTTTTAGGCTGTGCGGGCCATTCAGCCTCTGTCACTACGGCTCACCTCTGCCACCGCGGCGTGAAAGCAGACGTCGACTATATATAAATGATGAGCGTGGCCGTGTCCCAATAGAACTTTATTTATGGACACTAAATTTGAATTTTATGTAATTTTCACATTTCACAAAATATTATTTTGATTTATATTCAAGAATGTCAAAGTATAAAAACTATTCTTAGCTTCAGGGCTGATGGAAACCGTGGTGGGCCGGATCTGGTCCACGTGGCAGAGTTTGCCCACCCTGGCTCCTGGGTCTCAATGCCTGTGACCTCTGGGCTACCCCTGCCTTCCTCTGTCCCCCAACTGGGCTGAGCTGCTGAAGTCCCAGCAGGTCTCGGGGCTCTTGTGTCTAAAGGTCAAAAGCCACTTACCAGAAGGACCACCCGTAGTCCCAGGAATGGGGCCTCCAATCTTCAGGGCCGAGGCTCACGGTGACCTGGAACACCTGCGTGTACATCATGTGGGCGACCATGCCCAGGAGGCCTGTGGGGCGAGCAGAGCAAGGAATCAGGGCGCGAGGCGGGGCCTGTGCACCCTCACGGGCGTGAGTGCCGGGCAGAGCATGGGCCCCCTGGGAAGGACGTCGGCAGGACCAGAGCACAGGGGGCCAGAGGGGGGCTGTTTGCTGAGCCTGCGTTTGAGCCGGAGGGCAAAGGGCAGCCTGGAGAAATTAAAGCAAGGGAGCAGAGTCAGACCTGGGTGTGGATGGGCAGACTTTCTGTTAAGAACCAGAGAAGTCAATGATTTAGGCTCTGTGGGCCGCTTGGTACCGTTGCAACTATTCAGCTCTACCGTTGTAGAGCAAAGGAGCCGTGGACAACGGGAAGTGCAGGCCGTGGGGGGATTTAACCCGTGGGCTATAGTTTGCTGATAGAAGGTTGTTTGGGAGAAGGAGCTTAGAGAGTATTTTTAAAACCTCAGGTCTTAACTCACCAGACTAGAGGGTCAGGAAATCAACCTCAGGGATTGCAACCAGCGCTACCAAAAAAGGACAGGCTGGAATAGAGATATCCACTACCATCAAACGTAGCAGGAGTAAAAATTGTTTTGTATGTGCATGTGTGTGCATGTCCATGTGCATGCATGTGTGTGTGTGTGTGCGTGCATGTGTGCGTGTGTATAGTGATTGTAATAGGAACTGGTTTTTTGCAGCTCGTGGTTAAAAATCTTTGAGCCCACTGGCTGGGAGAGCTTTGATTCCAAGGGGTGTGAGTGAGAACCCCCTTCCCGCACATTTCCCCACATAGCCCCGGGCAAGGCACTTCACTCCTCTGAGCCTCAACCCTGTCCACCCAGAGATGAGGACTGTGGCAGCCGAGGTGAAGAGAGGGTGAAGTGAGGAGCAGGGAAGGGTAGATGGCAAGAGGAAGAAAGGAAACCTGTAATGCTTAGGCACCTACTGTGTGCCAAGCACCCAGTCAGACTTTTACCTCCATTATTATCTCTTAATCTTCATAACAACGCTTTGAAGTATGTGGCCCTGATCATTGAACTTACTCCAGAGGCTCCTGCACACGTATGTCTCCGTCTAGTCACTTGACCCCAGGCCTGATGGACACAGAGGACTCAACAGTGACATAGAAGGGGTTATCTGTGTCTCCGGGCCGGGCTCAGCCTCGCGTGGACACTTCCCACCGCTCTCTGGCCTCAGGTGAGGGCTACTCTCTAGGGCTGCCGGGGGCACTGGGGTCAGGAAACGAAGGGAGAGGGTGACGGCAACAGGTGCCGAGTCCCCCTCAGGAGCCCCTACGCGCTCGGCGTGCCCAGGCTCTCTCTGCCAGGCCTGGGGACCACCCAGACCCCCATCCTCAGTCGTGCCCAGCAGGTGTGCGGGGTCCCCTCTGCCTTGGCTCTGTTGGAAGGAGGAGACGAGGCTGTGAGCCGTACAGACAGCTTATGTTTATTCACTTGACACAACTTTTGGCGAACTTACATGGGATTCCTTGACAGTGACGCACCGTGACTGATTGATTCCATCAGTCGACGGTGTCGAAGTTACTTCCAGCTTTTTGCTCTCTAAGCAACGCAGCAACGAACACCTTCTGCAAGTCTCATCGAACCCTCCCTGGTGCCTGAGATTCTGAAGCGCGATCTCGCCCGTTGCTGGTGGAACACGAGACCTCAACATTGCTCCAAGTTTCCTGCTCCCCTCGACATGAGTGAGCCTGGGCGTTTTGCACGGCTGTTCACCATTCCTATTCCTCCTTCCCTGCAGAGGCCCGTCTGTGTTCTTTGTCAATATTCTTTTTTCTCTTTTTCATTATCAATTGGTAGGAATTCTTTAGCTTGGATGCTAATCCTGTCTGTTGCGTGGACTACAAATAGTTTACTGCCTGTCTTTTCCCATGTACAGAACACCTTTTTTTTATTAATAGACTTTATTGTTTAGAGCAGTTTTAGGTTTACAGAAGAATTGAGCAGATGTACAGAGTGCCCATGGGCCCCCTCTCCCCGCCCCAGGTGGTGGGGGCCATTAGTTACGACCGATGAGCCAGTATCGACACTTCATTAGTGACTAAATCTATAGTGTTCATTAAGGTTCACTGTCTGTGCTGCACCGTCTGTGGGTTTTGACATGTGTACAGCGACATGCCCCCACCATGCCCGTGCTGAATAGGTTCATGGCCCTAAAGTTCCCCTGTGCTTCGCCTATTCATCCCTCCCTCCCTCCTAAGCCCTGGCAACCACTGATTTTTTAATTGTCTCCATAGCTGTGCCTCTTCCAGAAGGCTATGTGGCTGGAATCGTACAGTACGTGGCCTTTTCAGACTGGCTTCCTCCACACAGCCTTGAGCATTTCCGTTTCCACCGTGTCTTTTCATGGCTTGATCGAGCCTTTCCTTTCCTTGCTGAGTAACATACCATTGTCCCGACAGGTTATTTATCCATTCACCTGCTGAAGGACACCCGCATTGTTTCCAGTTTTTCGTGATTATGAATAAAGCTGCTTTTGTCACACATTTTGATCATTGATATAGTCAAGTCAATCAGTCTTTTCCTTTCGGACTTGCATTTCCTGTGTCTGATTTAAGAAAACCAACGCCATACAGAGTCTCCTATATTTTCCCAGCATACTTATAGCTGTTTGCTGAATTCCCCTAGAATTTATCTTAGTGAGTGGTGGAAGGTAAGGATCTAACTTAATTTTCTTAAATGAATAGCTAATTGCTTTGAGCCCTTACAGAAAGAACCGATCTTTCTCCACTGATTTTAAATAACACTTTTACACCACATTGCAGGCCCCACAAATACACGAGTTTATGTCCTATCTCATCGCTCTGTTCCATGGCTCGCTCTCTGTTCCTGTGCCAGTGCCGCACTGTTTTAATTAGTGTAACTTACAGCAGAGGCTGTTACCTGGAAGGATACGTCTCTCCTCCTCACGGCCCAGTGCTCACTCCCTCTGGGACGGCTGCCCTACCCAGGGGCTTTGCCCCTCAGGGGGACCCAGACCCCTTCCTTAGTCCCCACCAGTCCCTTCCTGAGGACTGGACCTTGCTCTCCAAACCTCAGTTGTTGCAGCTTCTTTGGTTTCTTCCTCACTATGCCAGTCCAGATGCTCTTTGAGTTACCTGACCTCTCAGTGCCTTTGTTTTCTCATCTATAAAATGGGGACAGTAGCAGACATCGGCACTTTCAATGAGTATCCACTAAGAAAGGAAAACAGTCATGAGAATGACCATCTCTATATCAGGACAGTGGGGACAGGTCAGTATTTTACTACAGGAACTCTCAGCCAGACCCAGAGGCTGGGCCCAGCCTGTTGGCAGAATAATTAATTTTCTGAATTGTTAGTATAGAAAAGCATTGATTTCTCAGTGGGATCCATTTATCCTCAAATCTGAAAGGCCATGCTTTAAGAAAATTCAATAAATGAAATTGCAATTGGTGAGATTCTCGAATTGCATTTTAAAGATTCTGCTTCGAAAGTCTGCCCCTCGCCCGTGGTTTCTGGAAGCGTACACACGGACCAGAAACATCTGTCACAAACCCTCAGCAGAAGGGACTGTTTTCAACTTATCTGAATTTTAAAAATGACATTTTGACGAGTTAATGAACCTCCTAACTTAGGGGAGACTAAATGAATGAGGCTCTCCTGCCGAGAGGCTTCCCGGTGTGGACGCGAACCAGGAAGGCTGCAGCTGTAAATCTCCCCTCCCCTGGTTCCCGAATCTCCCCACTCCTGACAGCAAAGTGGAGCTCCCAGCCCGTAGGGCAAGGCAGGCATGGCCCCTCCCTTCCCTGGGGTCCCTGGGGAGCACTGGGGGTGGGGGATGCTGGCCAGGGCTCAGTCAGAGCTGGGCTGAACCCAAAATCCAGAGTGGGAGGAACTGTGGCAACTCCCAGCCCTGTCCTCACTGGCCAGCCCGAGGAAGCTGGAATCTGCTGTCAAGTCCAGAGACGCTGGGGTGGGGCTGGAATTAAGAGACAATGTCAGGAGGGTCAGGAGGTGAGCCCAGAGTAAAGCAGGGGTGAGGCTAAGTGAGAGAGAGGGTCCAGTTTCCAGCTCTCACTTACCAGCTACATGACCTCACCTTTCTGTGCCTCAGTTTCCTCAACTCTAATATGGGGTTAATAATAGCACCTGCCTCATAGATTGGTGTGAGGATTAATGGCTTATACTTGTAAAGCTCGTAGAACAGTGCTTGACACATAATAAACCCCACACAGTGTTTCCCGAATGAATGAATGAATGAATGAATGAATGAATGAATGAATGTCCAGGGAGGTGACACTGAAGCAGAGGCTTGAATGGGTAGCTGGAGGCGGCCACGTGGAGGTGTGGGTAAGCGGGCAGGGCACAGCCTGACCTGTTGGGGGAAGGAGAGAAGGCACCCGCCGAGTGAGAAAGGAGAGGGTGGAGATGGTCAGGAAGGTGGGCAGGGCCCGGTGACCCAGGATGTCCTGGGCCACGGCGAGGACTTTGGCTTCAGTTCTAAGTGATGGGAACCTGCAGAGGGTTTAAGCAGGAGTCTGATTTAAGACCATTCTGGTTACTTTGTGAAGACGATGGGGGTGGGAGCCAGGAGGTTGCTCAGTTGAGAGGAAGTTCCAGTGGCTTAGACTGGAGTTGTTGACATGGGGCCCAGGGCCCCCTAGAATCTAGGGTGACTTCCAAGGTTGTGGTTGGAGCAGTTGGGCAGATGATGGTGCCATTTACTAAGAGGAAGAAGATGTTTGGGTGGGTGGGACTCCGTTTGGGCTGTATTTGTGTGAAATGCCGCTTTTATATCCAAAAGGAGACACAAGCAAGCAGCTGGGTTATATAAGTGTGAGGTCCAGGGAGCAGTCGGAGCTGAGCTTGAGCTGCACGGGTCCCTGGCATGCGGAGGTCGGCCACCCGGAGAGATGGGGGAGAGGAGAAGGGCCCTGGTGGAGCTGGGTCAGGGGAGCAGAGGGGCCAGCAGAGGAGGCCAGGAGAGGTCCGGCTGCAGAGAACCGGAGGCAGGGAGGACACATGTCAAGAGCAAGGAGTGGCCCCT